CCACTCCGCCATAGGATGGGAAGAGGGACCTTGCAGGCTGGCGGCTTTCAGGGTGAGTCCGCTGGTGTCTTCCTCCTCGCCGGGGCAGACATGGGAACTTACCAGGCCCTGACACAAGCTGCAACGTCCGTTCTCCCCAGGCCCAGGGCCCGCGGGCCAGGCGGGCAGCCCCCTGCAGCCGCTTTGCTCTGCTGTCCGACGCATCCATGAATCACTCCTTGCACGCTGCAGGATGCAATTCCGGCGTGAAGTCACAAGCCCAACCCCGGGCTAGGTCTTATGGACAGAGGTCGTTTGCTGGGCACGCAGCAGGCCCAAGCGAAAATAGGGGGAAACGACACCCACAGCCCCATCCTTTTTGGATGGGGATGGTGGGGATGCCGGGAGGGGTGGGGGGTTGAGCCAGCATCTGGGCCCCGTTGTGTTGGGCCAGTCAGTCCCTGCCCTCTGGGGAGTTCACAGCTCAGACTGATGTCAGGAATTCAGGTGTAGTTGTGGGGAGGTGGAATTTAAAGTCCTGTTGGTACATTTCACTGTCCAGACTGTTATCCAGCATGTGAGCTAGGTTCTGAGCCTTGTCTGCAGAGCTAGGAGAGCATTGAATTCGAGCTGCTTCTCCACGGGAACACGGGAATGGACAGAAAACTCCCCTAAACTCTCCGGCTCCCCTCCCGGGGCTGGTGCTCAGAGAAGCAGCAGGAGCAACCAGGCTGCCCTTGGGGTGAGAAATCCAGAGCCGCTGCCATTTGAGCAGGGGATCGATTGGGCAAAATCACGTCGGCTCACTGGCGACCTTGAGCTTTCGACGAGCATCTGGCCCATCTGGTCTGTTCGGCCCACAGTCTTGTGCCGCTCCGGTCAAGGAGATCTCAGGACTCTGGCTGGCACCGTGAGGGGGTGTCTAGACAGTGGCGCTATTTTGGGATAAGTCCGGTGTCCCGAAATAGCATTTTCTGCGTCTTAACAGCACGCCCGTTATTTCAAAATGCAATCGAAATAAGGGGCTTGCTGTTCCAATGTCCCGGTAAACCTCGTTCCATGAGGGTAAAGGGCCTTGTCAGAAGAGTGGTCTGTTTTGAAATTCGGCACTGAAAGAGACACTCTCGAAAGGAGCTCGAAAGAAGGGCCGCGCTTTGCGTCGCTCAAACTGCGTCGCTTCTTTCGAGCGGGCGCCGCTGCATAGCCGCACCCCGAGGGAAGGTGAGTCTGACGGACAGACGTTTTATTCTCCATCAGGTGCACTGAAATATTGTGCCGGAGTCCCTGGCAGGTGGGGATTGCTGATGCAGTCTGGGATGGATTTTGTGGGGTGCCGGGAGGGTCGGTGATGCCGTGCGAAGGCCTCTACGGTCAGCAGAACACAGGAGCCAACCTGTGAAAAGGTTTTGGATCCTTCCTCCCCACCTTACAACCACCCTTCCTTCCCGCTCCTCTCACCCCTTCCATGCAAAGGCTTCCCTGTGCTTTCCAAAGATGAGCCTGTACCAGTCTGGGCTGGGAGGCAAGTTTGGGTTAGGGATGGGAACGGCTAACGGGTTAATCGGTAAGCATCAATGGTTAACTGGTGGGTTAACAGCCTCTGCCTGTCCCTGGTTAACCATAACGGTTAACCAGTGAACTGATTAACCAGGACTTTACATCCCTAGTGTGGGTTGTTATTTTCACCCTGCTGGGGGGCACTGCAGCCCAGAGGCAGGGCCCCCTTCTTGGCCCTGGGGTACCCGTTCCCCACCCAGAGCTGAGCACAGGTCAGGTTGTCCTGACTTCAACTCCTGGCTGCAACCGTGAGACCACCCGCCCCCCAGGATTTACTGGGACTGCACCAATTCCTTCAGCTGCCGGCGGGGGGGTCGGGAGGGCTCGATGGGGGAGCAAAACAGCCCCCGCTTGCAGCATCTGTAGGCTTCATTCCCAGCTGGAAGCCTGCTCTCCCCTCTCCATTCTGCAGGGATTGGCTGGGTGGCTGGAAGAGCTGGCTCCCCCCTCCACAGCAATGGATCTAGCTGCGGTCGCCTGCTCTAAAAGCCCATCAGCATCAATAATGCACCAGCCTGGGCTTGGTAAATAAAACATGCACTGCAGCCTGGCCAGCGGGAGGGGAATCGCCCCAGCCTGCCAGCAGGGACTGTGACCTCTGGGCGGCCGGACCCCGGACGAGTGGCTGCTGCAGGGAGGAGGCTGGGACCTGACACCCCTATCTGGGTGTGGATCCTTGGGCAGCATCTGCCTCTCTCTGCGAGGGTGGGGGGGATCTCCGTGCTAGGGATGTTAAATATCGGTTCGCGGAATAGTCGATTAACCTCACGAATCGTTATCGTTCCTCGACTATTCGATAGCCCCCCGGGGTGGGTCCGGCAGCCAGTGCAGTCCGGCCTCACGCCCCAGGAGCCCCCGGCCACGCCGCGCGGTTGCCTCTGTATCTGAGGCAGCAGCACGGGGTGGCAGCAGCCCCTGTCTGGGGGGCGTGTCTCAGGTCCCAGACCCAGCTGAGCCAGAACCGAGCCGGGCTGCCTGCCCACCCAGCTCCTAATACACTTTAAATGCAGAGCCACAGTGGGGGTCGGGTCCCAGACCCAGTGCCATGCCCCCGCCGGGGCTCCTTCCAACCGTTGCGCTACTGTTTTATCTGGAGAGCTACGCACGAGAGCGTCTGTTCCCTGCTTTGCCCCTTCGGCAAGTGGCTACCGCCTGGCCGTGCCTCAGTTTCCCCCTCAGTAACAGGAGTAATGCTCCTGAGCCCCCTGCTAGGGTGGCAGGGTCCAGCCCTGGGGAGCCTGAGCTCAGAGCATAGGAGGCGACATTCACTGCTGTGCAGAGGGGCCAGGCGTCCCTTAACGCTCCCCCCCACACAAGGCCTCTGTTCCTCTTCAGCCAGGGCCAGGCTCCATCTACACGGGGATGGTTTGGTGACCAAAGTGCTGGCGCCGTGCAAGGGTCGCCACCTGTGAAAGCCGGTCACAGCCGGTTTGTCGACATTTCACGGCCACGCAGCGCACGCCCCTGGGGACACACAGAGCAGAGCATTGTGGGTAAGCCTCCCCCAGTGACGGAACTAGGGCTCCCCTCCCCCCGCGTTCGCTGGGAGTTCTGATTCACGAGGCTCGGCAAGGGCCGAGGGGGGGCGTTAGCGTCTGTGGGGTGACCTAGATATAGACCCTCACGTTTTAGCTCCGCTGGGGCCTGTCTCTGGCTGCCTGCGAGATGCCAGGGGTTACGGCCCCTCCAGTCAAGGCGCGGATGTCACCCCGCTTGCTTCATCACACTTATCCACCGCTTCTCCCTGGCCACTCAGCAAGCCAGGCCTGGAACCCAGGAGGTCTGGCCCAAGGGGACTCGATGGTCCTTCCGTGCCGGCCACGCATGGGTCCGGTGACCTCGGCCGCAGCGAAGGAGGGGGGGCGTTACTGCCTGAGTCAAGACACCCAGGATCTGGGTTTGATACAGGACTTGAACCTCTTCTCGCGTTCCCGGAGGTGACTTTGCTGGTAGGCGTCCGGTTTTCACCCGTACGGTCCAGAAATCGCGTCTTCTGTCCGGTAAAAAAGAATAGAAAACACCGGATTTGTAAAATATTTTCCGTTTTCTTGGGTGGAAGGCTAGCGGGGTGGGGGTGGGAGTGGAGGGTAGGAGGAGCAGGGAGCACGTGAGAATTTAAAGGCGCAGCGAGCTTTTTTTTTTCTTGCTCAACAAGTTTGGTCGGTCTCCTGGTTTTTTTTTTTTGCTCAACCCATTTTTCCCCCCGCCGTGTTCGGGATTTTTTGTGAAGGTATCTGGCAAGCTTAGTTGCTGGTGCCCCGGGAGCAGGGGCAGTGACTCAGGCGGTGATTGTCTCCGGTTCCCAGCTGGGCCATCGCAGTGTCCCTGCTGGGGGAGCCCTACCCCAAAACCCTGCACTTAACCTCCCCCAACCAGGAGAAATACATCCCTTCAGATCCCATGTACCACGGGGCGATGCCATTGGCTGAGTCACAACCGTGGGAGCATGGCGCATGGGGGGTGCTGGCCCGGGCACGTGGCAAATTGGCCGCCCCGCCCCCAGGCGCACGGCTATGGGGGGTGCTGGACCCAGGCGCGCGGCTAATTGGTCTTCCCAGGCGTGCAGCTATGGGGGGTGCCGGCTCTGGGCGCGCGGCTATGGGGGGGTGATGGCCCCGCCCATGGCCACGTGGCTCATGGGGGTGTGGCATATGCACAGCTCCGCCCCCGGGCACGCGAGTTTCCCCGCCTTCTGGCGCCCAGCGGGCAAACAGCCCCGCCCCCTAGCGCCTGGCAGCTCCAAATGGTTGGGGACCACTGGTCTAGACCATCCTGATAGACATTTATCTAACCTGCTCTTACATCTCTCCAGAGATGGAGATTCCACAACCTCCCTGGGCAATTTATTCCAGTGTTTCACCACCCTGACAGGTAGGAACTTTTTCCTAACATCCAACCTAACCCTCCCTTGCTGCAGTTTAAGCCCCTTGCTTCTTGTTCTATCCCCAGAGGCCAAGATGAACACGTTTTCTCCCTCCTCCTCGTGACACCCCTTTAGATACCTGAAAACGGCTTTCACGTCGCCATGAGGTGCTTAAGTCCCAGCTGGACCAAGCCCTGGCTCGATGCCTCCTGAGGTCTCTGCTGGCCCTGGGATTCTAGGCGAGTCTTGCACATGGTGCCGAGACAGGCCAGATTCACACCCAGCTGCAGCTCCGGCCTGGGGCGGGAGCCTGGGGGGGGCATGGGCGGAGCGAGCAGCCGTGGGTTGCCTCGCTGACACCTCTCCCCCTACCTTTGCCTTTCGCCTTCCCAGGGAGCAGCATGCTGACCAGCCTTGCCGATGGGATCCTCTGCTGCCTGCTGGGCAAGGCCACCAATGCGGTGGGGCCCGTGGACACACCCAGCTGCAGCTCCGGCCTGGGGCGGGAGCCTGGGGGGGGCATGGGCGGAGCGAGCAGCCGTGGGTTGCCTCGCTGACACCTCTCCCCCTACCTTTGCCTTTCGCCTTCCCAGGGAGCAGCATGCTGACCAGCCTTGCCGATGGGATCCTCTGCTGCCTGCTGGGCAAGGCCACCAATGCGGTGGGGCCCGTGGACA